CTCGCGCCCCCCCCCCCCCCCCCCCTCTCTCTCTCTCTCTTTCTCAGCTCTCAACAGTGAAGATTGAGGGGGAATTTAAGAGGAGAATTAAATAGAAGAGAAAATTTAAAGAGAGTGAATTAATACTATAGCTATAATATTGGTATTGCATTTATTGAGAGATCTCAAGATATGGTATTGTATTGTAATTTCTTTGATTAATAAGAAATTAATTGTGTGGCTCTTGATGATGTATGCAAGTTTGTCGAATCTCTTAAATCTTGGTGTACTTTTCTCTATACTGCGTTTCTTACTGTTTTAGGGGTCTAGCGTAGCCCCGAGTATTTCTCAACAACTGGTATCAGAGCCTGAAACGATCTAGAGGAAATCAGATTCAAGTGAGAGTCATGACCGTAGATGAAGGAAATATGAGATTAGAGAAGTTTGATGGATCAGATTTTGAATTTTGGAAGATGTAGATAGAGGATTATCTGTACCAAAAAAAATTTGTATCAACCCCTTTCGAGGAAAAAGCCGGAGGGTATGAAGGAAGAAGATTGGAATCTTTTAGATAGAAAAGCCCTCGGGGTTATTCGTTTGACGTTAACCCGCAATATTACTTTTAACATTACAAAGGAAAAGATCACGGCGGGTCTTATGACAGTACTCTCAAACATGTATGAGAAGCCATTAGCTTCAAACAAAGTTTATTTGATGATGCGGTTATTCAATCTGTGAATGACGAAAGGTGCATCGGTAGCACATCATCTCAATGAACTCAATACAGTCACGACCCAATTGAGTTCAGTTGATATTAAGTTTGATGCATCTCAATGAACTCAATACAGTCACGACCCAATTGAGTTCAGTTGATATTAAGTTTGATGAAGAAGTATGAGCGTTGATCCTTTTGTCTTCCCTACCAGAAAGCTTGAATGCTACAGTCACAGCTGTGAGTAGCTCGTCGGGAAGCAACAAGTTGAAGTTTGACGACGTTTGTGATCTGGTTGTTAGTGAGGAGATCTGACGGAGAGAGTTGGGTGAAGCTATAACCTCTTCAGTATTGCATATAGAGTCAAGAGGTAGAAATTCACCAGAGGAAATGGATCAGATGACAGGAGGTCCAAATCCAGGAATCCCAGCAGCTCGAAGGCTTATCGAGTGTTGGAAGTGCGAGAAAACCGAGCACTATAAGAATCAGTGCAAGAGTGCACAGAAGGAGTGGGAGGCAAAGACAGATGCAAATGTTGCTTCCACCTCAGGAGGAGATGATGCATTGATATGCTCTTTGAAGAGTAAGGAGGAGTCTTGGGTGTTGGACTCTGGAGCATCATTCCATGATACTTCTCAAAAAAAATTCCTTGAGAAGTATATCCCCGGAAACCTTGAAAATGTATACCTTGGTGATGATCAACTGTATGCCATTATTGACAAAGACAAAGGCAGATGCAAATGTTGCTTCCACCTCGGGAGGAGATGATGCATTAATATGCTCTTTGAAGAGCAATGAGGAGTCTTGAGTGTTGGACTCTGGAGCATCATTCTATGATACTTCTCAAAAAGAATTCCTCAAGCAGTATATCCTCAGAAACCTTAAAAATGTATACCGTGATGATGATCAACTGTATGCCATTATCGGCAAAGGTGTAGTTATAGGCGTCTAAAAATGCATATAGGTTCCCGCACGCGGCTCGAGATAGAGAAATGACGATGAACGTCACTATCCGAGTCACAGAAGCTTATTTGACGTCGATAAGGGCATGAAGTGAGTCGACGAACCATGTGAATCAACGAAACTTCAGAATAACGAAAACACGAACTGATCGGGAGCTACATTTATTTTACGAAAGACGAAGTGCCCCTTCATATCCTGTCTATTCCATATATGATTCAACCATGGGAGTTTGTAGATCTTCTTGTCAGCTTTCCAACGCATATTGAATCGCGTAATTCCGAGTTCGGATGACGAAAATACGACGAAAACGGACGAGACGCGCAGAAAAATGCTCTAGGCCTCAGCGAGACACCCTCAGGTGTCTCGGCCAGGCCGAGACACCCACGGGTGTCCACACCCTCAAAAACTGATTTTTGGCAGTTTTAAGCTGTTTTTCGACGATTAACCACCTGGATTTGTTCCAACTGATCTAAATCTATCTAAGAACGTGATAAAGTGGTTACAACTGAAGATAAGAGTGAATCGATCGTTCTTATCCGAAAACAGAGGTCCCAAAGACTATAAATACAGCCCTGGGGTCTTTATTTTTTCGGATCTGGATTTCTCGAGCGTCGGCGAAGCCCTGCTGAATTGAAGACTGAAGAAGCACGAATTTCAGAAGAGAGGAGGAGATCGGATCGAGTTCGTCAGCATAAAGAAGAGGAGCTCGTCGGATCTATAGTTCCTGGTTCCTTCCCTTGAGATTGCTCCGTTGCGGTGATCTCGAGAAGAGTGATTATCTCACTGTTATCGAGATAATTGCTTCGGTTTTTTAATTCCTTCGCGAATCAACGAAGCTCCGAATCTGATCTGATCGTTTGGTAGTCCATGGATATCAACATCCCCGTCACAGGCCAAGATCCCACGCAAGCAGCGGAGGATAAACATCTGTTGCGTTTGTTTTGACGAGAGTTGTATTTTTTCGTTTTCATTGTGTAAGAGTCTTATAAAAAGACTATCTTTTTTCGTTTTCATTGTAACGTCTGAAGTTGTAATGAATACATCAATGAATACATCAACTTTCTCCCAAAACAAGCTGGCGATCACAGTGAGAGCCAACAGCCTTGCTGCCAAGGCTGTCGTGACGCAACCAATGATTAAGATCCCGGTGAACGAAGAGGTCGAATACGAATTCGACCAGCAAAAGTTTGAGGAGTACGTCTCCTCCTCCTCCTCCAGATCCGCCTCTCCTCGCAAGCGCAGGAAGGCCTCCTCCTCCAGGAAAATCCGCTGGTCTTCAAATCTGAAGACCTAAGAAGATGATCTCTCCGCCGTCGCTGCTGCAGTTG